CAGTTTTCTCCCTGAAACATTAGTTGGGAGCATGTGCTACATCCATCTCCTGGTGTTTTATCGGCAAATCCTTGGAGATGCCCTCCTGAAGGACAGGACGAGCATGCAGAGCACAGGTGAGCACTGCAGGAAGATCAGGTTCATCCAGGGAATGACTCTTGCCAGGTCTCCCTTTGGTAAGAGATGTTTTTGGCACCCAGGCTAAGTTATCCTCTTTATTTTTAGTTTTTAATTATTATTTACTTACTGACAGTAGGGAGAGACAGAAGTTGGAGAATTCTGGATTTGGAACTCAGTGTCTTGCCCTGATTATTCAACAGAACTAATGATAGTTTATAGCCTTCTCCATTTTAAAACCAACTTGAAATAAGGAAAAATTACATTTCTTAACCTACTACATATGAATTTATATAGGTGTAAGGTGCCACACTTACCTGATTTGATCTGAATAATTTAGGACAGTAGATCAGGCTGATGACCTCTCCTGGAGTTAAATTGCATCCCTTTGGATTCAGACTCCATGTGAAGCCATTGCAAGGCTTTATCCCAGGAGTTGTTCTGGTAGCTGTGCAACAAAAGAAGATTTCTATTATTTCAAAATCCACCATCACTTTAGGAATAGACAACTGAAAATGTCTGTTCTCCTTCCCAGAAGTCATCAGTCCTGGCTCTCTTCCCCGAAATGTTTGGGCATTAGTAAATGCTTCATGTTTACCAAACTTACCATCAGCTTCAAGGTGAAGGGACAATTGTACATTCAGTATTTGAAATCACATGATAAAGAAAACACTTCAGGCAAAATCCTGCTCTCTGTCACTTGGAATCTTATCCAAAATCTCATTAATTAAAATAATCACAGGAGCAGAGTGATTTCTCATGGAAGTGACCCAAAAAGCACCAGGACACCTGTGCAGTGGGATATGTGCTCCATTGGGAAAATTCACTGTGCACTTGGTCCTTGGTTCTCCTAAAATGCCACACCAGGCTGAGGTAGAACCCAAGTTTGTTTATCCATAACATCCAAACTAAGCAGGACAATTGCAGCTGTGTGTAAAAAAGGCAGGTGCAGAAATGAGGGAAAACACCTCTGGCAGGTAAATCAGGAAGGGTTCATGTTTGCTGGTGTTACCAATAAAGAGCACTGGGGCTTGTGTGTCCCCTCTCCTGCTTTAACTGTCTCTCAGACACTGAGGATTGGCTGCAGTCAGAACAGTTTTAGGGAGTTCTGCCTTCCCTGCTCTGGAGAACTGTCACAGCTCATTTTCCCTTTGGAATAATCTGACAGGAGGGGATGTGCTGAATACCTGCATGTGCCAATACTTTGCAAACTGATTCTTCCTTAGCCTTGAATGTGTTGGTTTTCTGTTTCAGACTTAATCTGTAATCCTGTGCTAGCAACTTTCCCTCAACTCCTGGATCAGCCAGACCTGATGGATGCACTTCGGGTATGTTACCTTGTCAGCATTTCCAGGCTGAATTTGAGTTTTTCTTTTGTCCTGGGAGAAAAGTTCTCCAGCCTTGCTCTGATTTTTCATTTAATTTTAGAGTGCCTGGGCTGAGAAAGAAAGAACATTGAAGAGAATTGAGAAGGTAACAAACCACAGGTTTTTCTTTCCATATATTCAGGGTAATTTCACCTAGCTGCTCCCTGCCAGTGCAATTGCTGCTTAGCTTTTCCTCTCACCATACAGCTATTTAGAAAACAGATATATGTAAATGCAGTTCTTAACATTTCTCACCCAGATTTATAACAGTAAACCAGGAGCAGGAGGAAAATTAAATTAACTTGTAACTTTATTTCAGTGTTGTTAGGGGTTACCTGTCAGAGATTGGTACCCAGAGTGGCTCCCTGTCAAGATGTGCTTCCAACAGTCATGGATACAAAGAAGGGCTGTGTATGCCCACAAAATCATCTTCCCTCCTCCAAACCCTGAGCTTCAGTCCTCCCACAATCTGCCTGGGAAAAGCCCCCCTAAATTCCTCAGATCTCCCTACCCCAGAGAGTTGTGATCCATGTTTTGGCACAAAGACTGCTGGAGAATTTACCTGGTTGTCCCCGGGCTCACCCAGACCTTGTCCTACATCCTGTCCCCTGGACAGAGAGCAGCTGCAGGAACTGAATGAGAAAGCCATTGCCTCTCAGTGCTGGATTTCCTGGAAGCAGCAGTGGGATATTTCATTCCTGTGCATGCTCCTGAGTTGATGCACAAGGATGGCTCCCCGTTTACGCAGAACAAACACCCGCTGAGTCAGAGCAGCTTTGTCAGGGCCATTCATCCAAGAGGAGAGCAGATCTGCTCACGGAATTGGCAACTCCCTGGGCTCCCAGAAGCATCCAGTTCTACCTGACTGGCATGTGCCACTCCCAGGGGAGGATTGCTGAGTGCTCACCCCTGGTGTGGCTCCTGAGGCTGAGCTGTGAAACACTGCCTGCCAGGCACAGCGCTCCTGGGGCTGGGACACTCTGGACTTGGATCTTTCCCATGGGTTTGATAATTGACCAGGCTGATCCTTCGTCTCTGGGTTTTCCAAGCTGATCTTCACAGGGGAGCACACAGGTCACACCGTGCACAAGGAGTGGGACAGCAGTGCCCAGGGGCAGCATCAGCTCTGGCTCCAAGGAGTGGGATCAGAGCCATGCTCCACCTAGGACAGCAGGGAAATGAGAGGAGTTTGGGTTTCCAGAGCAGGGAGGATGTGGCATTGCTTTTAAGGAATATAAATACCCCACAGCAAGGGGCTCTCAGTGCCTGTAGTTTGTGGCAAGGCTGGCAGAGTTCAGGTTTGTGGATATGCTGGAGGCTTATCCAGGATAACGGATGCATGTTTAGGAAGGTCAGATCTCTTCCCATTGTTTTCCTGGGAGCTGGGAATGAGTTGTTTGGGTTTTTTCCCCATGTACAATACTTTGGAAAAGTGCTTGACAACACCACATGTTGGCACTGAGGCATTTTCACCACTCTTGTCTGCAGAGAGATCAAGAATTCCTGAAGGCTGCGTTTGTCCTGGTGTACCATGACTCTGTGTTCCCTCTGCTCTGCTCCACGTCCCTCCCCAGCTACAGATGGGCTGAGGAGGAGGTGGAATTGTCTCGCTGGAAGGTGATCCATGACTTCCTGAAGAGGAGCCAGGAGAAGGATGGTGCCCTGGAGTACCTGCTGTCATCAGAAAACACCCACAGAGCCTTTGACATCTCAGAGCTGGCCTATGATTTCTTAGGAGAAGTGAGGAAAAACAATCCTGGAGAATGAACAATTCAGGCTCTCTAAGGACATGGTAAAAATAAAATTAAGTTCTTACCAAAGAGATTGTGCAGGAGCTGAATTGTAATGGATATTTTAGCGCAATTAGGATTTTGAGAGAGATTAAAATTATTTTATCTGTTTATCTACTGGAAATTGTATTTTAAGTTTTTAACTTCGCAGCATTAAACAAGGCTCTGGTTGCCTGTTACTACCTGTTGTAGCCATGTCAGGTGTCATACTTTGCCAAAGCTGAGGTAGCCCTTTCCTCCTTTCATGCAGCTTCCAATTATTTTCCAGTGTTGTTTTAATCAGGGTGAACAAAAGGCTCTTTGTCCCAGTCCCCCAGCAGCCTGGGAGCAGGGAAGGGAAAGAGCAGAGATCTCTAAGAATGCTGCTGAGCAAGGACAGCCAGCTTAGGGGAAGAATCCTCTCTTGCCCAACCAGTGACCAGCAGGTTGCTCTGTTTTTAGGCTCTTTGCCTGTTCCTCTCCCCCACTCAGGAGAAGGCTGGGTTCCTCCCAGGAATGTGCCTGACCCAACACAAATAGCAGCAGGTGGGAATCCTGGAATGCTCTGTTTCCCCAGGATTGTTTCCTCTGCTGACCCCTAAGCACCTTGTGACCACAGGCTCTGTGTGCTGCCCATTCCCATAGGGAAGTGATTAATCCACTTTCTCTTCAGTGCTGGAGCATCTGGATGCTTCCTGCAGGGTGATGGGGACATTGCCACCGAGTCACTCCTGGATTTAAGCCCAGGCCAGGCTCAGTTTTGTCTGGCAAGATTTGAAACAAGATTTTTGAAAATGTCCACTGCATGGAGCCAAAAAACAGCTCCAACTGGAGTATCTGTAAACTGGAGCCTCCAGAAATACCACAGGACACTTCTCCCAGCCTAGGAAGTGCTCAGAGACATGGATTTGATCTTTGCTCTGTGTTGTGCAAGAGCTTGGCATAGAAGCCAAGTTCCTGGGGCATCACCTGTCTCGCCTAGCAGAGCTGGGATAACTCACTGGGACAGTGTCTTCCTGCTGCTGTAGCCCATTGCCCTGGTTAATGGGGTCATTCTGTCCTCTCTGGGCCACCAGGCAGAAGTGCCACCCCCAGCCTTTCATCCCACCCCTTATCTGGGAGTTCTGGGGCCAGGCAGAGTGCACTGGATGAGGCAGCAAGCGCTTCCCAAATCCAAACTGCATTTGCCAGGAGGCAGAAATTCCTGCAGCTCCCCTTCACACCTTACTGGGCACTCGGGGGCACATTGCCAAACCCTCCTGGCGTGTTTGTAAAATTTACCTGCCAGTTTCTGAAGGCTGGATGTGCCTGGAGGGTGTGGAGGTGTCTGACGTGACCGCGGAGCAGAAACCTGAACAGAAAGGGGAGGAGGCAACAGCAGTGGAAGCTCAAATATTTCAGGATTGGAAGCGTGCCAGGAGAACTGTTCGCAGGAAACATTTCTGTGCCGGCAAGGTGTAGGAAGATTTTTCCTTCCCTCTCCAGTTGGTGACCTTGCCCTGGCGCCCGGCGGGGTGGGGTCCCGTGTGTCCCATCGGTGCTGGCCGGGGGATGCACCAAGCGGCGCAGCCTCGGGCGGTGCCAGGGCTCGGCGGGCCGGGCCCGGGGCAGCGGCGCGGTGCCAGCCCGGGCCGGTTCCTGCGCTTACGTCCCGCGGGCGTGTCCCTTAAATCCCGCACGGGAGCGGCGCGGGGCAGGCGAGCGCCAGCGGAGCCGAGCGGAGCGGAGCGCTGTCGGCGGGGCACAGATGGCCTCGGTGGGTCCCTCCGCAGCCTCCGCGCAGCCCGCCCTGCCCTCCGGACCCGCCGTCTTCAAAACCATCCCCTACGCCTTCATCCTGCCCGAGATCGTGAGTATGCCTCGCCGCGCTGCCTCACGGAGCCCGCTCCGGGCTAAAATCCCCAGAAGCCGTCCCGAAGGCATCCTGACTGGGGAGTGACAGCTTGGCTTTGGGCTTACGCTGAATGCACAAAGTATTCCTGAAGGGGTTTTTAGGAACAGCTTGAGGTACACTCAGCTCCATCACAGCCTGTGTGAGGGTCACCGGCTGCCGTGGGGCTGGGAGAGGCTGAAGAGCCGCTGGCTCGCCCAGGGCAGACTGGCAGCTCTCGTTATCGTGAAGCAGCTCTCTGTAGAAATGGCTGGAAAATCAAGGCAATTTTGCTCTCCGTATCAAGTCGTTCCAGGGGTTGAAGGCAATTGGGCGTCTGGTAATGTGCGATGACATTCCGTGATTCTTTCAATTGCTTCTGGGTCCAGAGGGCATCCAGTGGGACCGGCCAAGATAGCACCTGATGTACTTTGTCATGGTGCACGGGGCTGGCAACCCACACACCCTGTGCCCCACAGGCACGATCCCTGGCCGTGGTGGCAGGCTCAGCTCCCTGCTGCAATTCCAGGGGTCTCACCCACCGCAGCTGGGATGGCACAGGGTGGCACGGGCTCATCCCGATGACCTTGTGGGATTTTTGTGCTCAGTAAATATTTTGGGTGGATCCAGAGCGAGCAACTTGCTCCAGGCTGGTGCGTGGAGCTGAGAGGAGACTTCCTTGTGCTGTGATTCCAAGCCCTGGAGATTAACGAGCGGGCAGGGCTGGGTTGAGGCAGCCGCTCACTTTTCCCAGATAAAAGCACATTTTCTGGCTTCTCCACCAAATCCCTTGGGGTGAGACATTTCCTTGTGTGCAAGGCGGCAGCAAACCCTTCCCTTTCGTGTGAACACTCATTTCCCCTGAGTTTTCAGGGGAACCGGTGCCAACTTGCTTCCTTGCTTCCCTTAGCACTGGGATGCTCTGGGAAAGATGCAGGGGCTGGCTGCTGCAGCTGGCCCAGGAGGGAGGGAGGAGGGAACTGGGGAGGAAAAGAGCTTTTCCTCATCCCACACTCATCAGCGGCGCCTGTTTGTCCCCGGCAGGTCTGCGGGACCTGGGTGTGGATCCTCGTCGCTGCTACCTCCGTCTCCTTGCCGCTGCTGCAGGGATGGGTGATGTACGTGTCCCTCACCTCCTGCCTCATCTCCCTGCTGCTCCTCTTAAGCTACCTCCTCGGCTTCCACAGGAACAGCGAGAACTGGAAAGTGCTGGTAAGGAGGGGATGGAACACGGGCAGATGTTGGCAGCAGCAACGTGGGCGCAGGATCACCATGGCTGGTGACCCACCAACCCTTTCTTCATTTTGCCTTGACTGGAAAGTCCAGGGGAGCTGTGCTGTGAAACCACTGCTTGGTTTGGTCCCAGGCCTCTCCAGGCACCTGGCCCCCTTTGGGGCACTCACAGGTGTCTCATTTTGCAGGACAGTTTGTACCATGGCGCCACGGCCATTCTGTACATGAGCGCCGCGGTCCTGCAGGCCAACGCCACCATCAACTCTGAGTTCGGCGTCAACGCGCCCCTCAACTACCAACTCAACAGCGCTGCATCGGTGAGTCCAGAGCACCTGCCGGGCTGCAGGACACACACTCACCCCTGCAAGGGCAGCAGCACGTGCTAAAGCCACAGCACAACCACCCCAAGTGCCAACAGAGCACAGCTTCAGCTCCTCAGCTCTGTGGGTCGTGCAGCTGGCGTTGGCTTCTCAGTTCATAGACAGTCTGACGTGGCTGGATGCTGGGAAAAGCTGAGGCTTTGCCTCTCCTTTGAGGCTGGAGGGAGCTCTGTGCTGGGAGGCTTCCCCATGCTGAGAGCACTGGGAAGAGATGGGGTTTGACTCTGCCAGCTGACCCTTCCTCTTCTTCCTCTTGTGCAGTTCTTCGCCTTTCTCACGACCTTCCTGTACATCCTCCATGCCTTCAGCATCTACTACCAGTGATCCTGGCAGCACCAGATTGACCTTGACAGGACAAGGGCTTTCCCAGTGTGAGAGACCTTGCTGTCATCCCAAGGTGTCCCTGCTCCAGCCCTGTCACCAGGCCTCAGGAACAGCAAGTCCTTTTGCACTTCATCACAGGAGGGATTTTTGCTGGTACACGTTGGTGTGCCTGTGGGACATTTCCTGCCTTGCCTGGGGGAGGGACTTGTGAGGGGAGGGACTGGGTGCAGGCCCCAAGCCTCCAATACCAACATTCTGCCAAATATTGACAACCATGGGAAGAGGGAAAAAAAAAAAACCAGTTCCTTCAGCAAACAACCTCCTTTCCTATGTAATTTGCCTTTCTCCGGTTCAGCTCCATCCCTCCCCAGCACAAGTTCATAACAATGATACAAGATTGTGTTCCTTGACTTTCAGATGGTTTCATTTGGTAAATGCTGTATTTGGAATAAAGTGTCAATGGGCAGATTTTGACTACTCTGTAAGCTGTGTTCACTGAAAAAGCTCATTTTACTTCCCAAGAGTTAGAAAAGAAACAGAAAATGTTCACTTACAAAGCTACAACAGATTGTAAACGAGCAAATCATAGAACCCATAGGAAATTTCTAGATGTAGTACAAAACTACAGCGTGAAAAGAATGATTACACGGGAGGAGAAGAGACATTTACAGCAGCTCTCCTCCCGTGCCTCCTGATTCCCATTACAAAACCTGTGGCTGTGGAGTCCAGGCACCGGCACCGCCGTCACGGAGCGCTGGTGTCACTGCTGTCCCTCCTCCGTGTCCTTTGCCTGGGAGTGACTGCAAGGAGCTCCCTCCTGCCCCTGCTCCAGGCAGTCCTGCAGCTCTGGGACGCTGTGGGCTCGCAGCACATCCAGGTAGAGCAGGTAGTCCTGGAGGCAGGCTGGCAGCGGCAGCTCCCGGATCACGCGCTCCGAGCGCAGGCGCTCGCTGCCCAGCAGGGACCGGATCTCCAGGCGGCACAGGTGGGACAGGGGAGGAAGGAAGGCTGGAAAATGGAATCCCCAGTCAAACACAGAGCAGCTCTTACTACACCTATATATTTACTAATATAAAAGGAAATAAAGAGAGAATTTAACCTCTATTTCCCCAAATAACTCTCATTTTTTTAACTCCAAAAACATCCTCATTAGCATCAAGTATTCTAAAGGAAATATTATTAAATTACATTACCACTTGGACAACTTAAAAATGATTACAGACTCTTTCAAAGAATAATTTCCTTTGAAAGGAATCATTAACAAAGACACCTAAGTGCAGTTTCTCAGTCACATAACACAAGACCTGCTTTTCTGAAGGCTGAACTATGAAAAATTCTTGCACAACCAATTGAATCTTTTTGGCTGGTCACACTTTGATTATGTTTGATTTTTATGGTTTGTATTTAATTACTGTCCAATGCTTACAAAACAGGACAGATGCTTCATTGTAAACACAAATCAAATTAGAGAAGTAAAACATAACTAAGTCCTATTGTCATCTTCTCCTAAATGTCCCCATCTGCAGCCTGGAAGCTGGATACATGGAGACATTATTTTCCTGCCTGTATTCCTTACCAAAATGGCTCTTGGAGGTCCAAGTGAACTTCTCCTTGTATTGGGAAAGGTGTTGCTCCACAATTGGAGGAAGTCTGCTCCAATTCGTGAACTCCAGAACAAAATTAAGGACATCCTCACTCATGGAGAAAATCCTGTGTAACAAAGACTTCTTTACTTTTAAATACCTTTTAAAAGTATTTGTAGATTACAGAATAAAAGACCAAAAAGCATCAGATGTAATACACAAGGACAGTGACATTCATTCAGTCACTGAGTAGCAAGCTTGTAATGTGTTTACTACAGCCTGCAGAAAATACAAATATTTCACAACTCTAAGTTAAGCCTGTAGTGCCCAATTAAATATAAAACATCACCAAGCTGTTGTCTATATGTGGAAAAACTTCAATAATAATAATAATAAAAAAATCTGACTGGAATTTTTGCCACATTGTGTTAAACAAAACAGTCTCAAACTGCATCCGTTTCCTCTCCTCCCAGCCTTGGCCCAGCTTCATTTCCCATTTGTTTCCCATCCCTCCTGACCTATTTCTCCCATTGAAATTTCTTCTTGCCATGGCTGTATTAAAAGACACACAATTTGCAGCTAAATTTGGGGGTTAAGTAGAGATGTTAGATATAAACTTGGGAAGTGATGCTTTATTGCTATTCTAGAGAAAGGCAATTTCCAGTCTGGCTTTCTTCCTAAAGAAAATTGTTTTACTGCCTCCAGACGTGACGTGTGAATGATTTATTTCAGACTTTCCACAACCACTCCCGTTCCTGATGGTGGCAACAGATTATCAAGGGCCATCCTGTAGCAGCTTTGCACATTAGCATGGGATGTTTGAGTTAAGAAAGACCAGGCTCCCTGCTCTACCAGAACCTGCACATGAAATTCACGGGGTTGAAGCCAGCCAGGAGCAGGCAGGGCAGCCATTCCTTGTATTCCTTCTGCACCGTGCTGCTGTAGAGGATGAAGTCTGTTAACTCCTCCTCCGAGGGCAGGGAACAGCCAGACCTCAGGAAGCGCCGGAACAGAGCAAATTTCTTATGGCACAGGCAGTGAGCCAGGTTGATGCCACGCAGGGTGATGCCATATTTCAGCAGGACATCAACGAACTGATAATACCTGTGAGCAGGAAAAGGAACAGGGCATCCCGTGAGCTTTGCCTCAGAAAGCACCCACCACTTGTTACATCTGTCTGCAATGAAACAGTTCAAAATGTTTTTATTAAAATCCTTTTACCGTTATCCCCAATAGGATAAGGACTGAGACTGTGACTGGTGTTGCCTTTTAGGGATTAGAGGGCACATTACTCCACAGAAGTGGTGACGTGTGTTACCTGCCTTGTTCACAGAGCAATCACCTGCTCTGCATCCCTTCCTAAATTATTTATTATAAAGCAGCACCAGGACAGAAAGGGAAAAATGGTGTCCAAGGATTTTAAAAGGCAGCTTCCTAGGAGCAGGCCACAAACTAAATTCACTACTAACAAACCTCGTTAATTTAAATGGCAGCCTACTAACAAACTAAATTCATTACTAACAAACCTTGTTAATTTAAATGTTATAATTTATTTATAAAATAAATTATAAATAATATAAATATTTTATATAATTATATATAACTATTAAAATATAAATATTTATTTATTATAAATATTATAATAAATATTTATTTACGGTAAATAAATAAATTTAAATCCATGTACAAAGAAATAATCTGTTAAAATCTGAGAGGATTCAAAAGCCGTTTTTGAAGATGTTTTCCTTAGTGCAGCAAGTGAATCACACTCCAGGCCTTCACATTAATATTCCCAAGGAAATGGGAATAATGAGGAGTGTCTGCAAAGGGGGAACACACTGGAATTCTGGAAAAATATTACATGATAGACAGCAGTTGAGAGAAGAAAGTGGGAAACGACGCGTTTAAAATAAGTTAATTAAAGCAAATATGATTACGAATAACTCCAAAACAGAAGAGGTTTGCTTACTGCTTTTGGAAGACCATGCACATGGGGGACCTGCAGCCAAAGTCTGGGCACTCCTGAGCATCTGGGCTGAAGCCCTGCCTGAGCAGCATCTCCAGGCACTCGCCGTCGCCGCCGTACAGCGCCGAGTACACCGGGCTCACCTTGCCCTCGCCCTTGTCACACACACGGTCAGTGACTGGAATCAGCAGCTCCAGTATCCTGCAGGTGTTTAGAACCACTGCTTGCTGATCTCATTGCAATGATTAATCTTAAACACACAGCCATTTTTTCACAGGGTCACTGCAGCTTTGGAAGAAAATCGTGTTTTTTCCACTCTTGAATTTGCAGCTTTATAATTCTATACACAGATCCCTGGCAAATGTTGTGCTTTGGGATGGATTTGGGCTGGAAAGAAGTATTTTAAACCAAACCAGGGACAGCTACCTCCTATTACCCAGCAACTCTTTTTACAGCAACAGAACACCACTGCACACTAAATCCCAACTCCAAGGAAGTTTGGAGGCAAACTGTAAATGTGAGTTTTAAATGAAATGAATTCTTAGTTCTATGAAACAGAAAAATCATTCTGTTTACAGCTCACACTCCAGGCCACATCACATTAGTGACAAACACCAGTTCCTGTGCTGCTGGCACCTACTGGCGCTGCATAAGAATTGCCAGTGATGTATCATCATTTATGTACTTAAGTGCTGTCCATGTGTGAATCATGGAGTTCCTGAGAGATCCTTCTCCCCAGTGGTCTACTCCCAAAACTTCCTTCCACTCTTGGGTCGTTGCTGTGGAGCTGACTTGTATATCTGAAATTGGGCAAAGCTGCAAGTGCATCTCTGGAAAGATTAAAGAAACTGTTTTTGTGGCTTTGATTTTTCTGGCTGGTCCAGCTAATTCAATATTTGCATATAATTACTTCTGCTACTTAATATAGAATTCTAATTAGCAGCTGTTCAAATCATGTATAATATATGACATGGTTATTTGCATTTTTAAATGGAAAAGAAAAATGGCCATGGAGTGAATTGGTATCTGGTTCAGCACTGTAGAAAACCCTCTAAATTCATCAGGCTATGGATCAAATCCAGGTTAGATGCTGAATTAAAAATCATAAATCATAGAATGGTTGGGGTTGGAAGGTACCTTCAAGGTGATCCAGTTCTACCCCCTACCTGGACACTTCCACTATCCCAGGTTGCTCCAAGCCCCATCCAACCTGTCCTTGGACACTTCCAAGAATGGCACAGCCACAGCTTCTCTGGGCACCCTGTGCCAGGGCCTCACCACCCTCACAGGGAAGCATTTTTCCTTAATATTTCATCAAAACCTACTCCCTGTCAGCGTGGAAGAAACTAAGAGACATTTAAAATACAAAAACAATCAGAACTTCTAAGTTACAGTTTGAACACCCAATTTTCCTCACTTTTAGGGCTGAACTTCCTCCTTTGGGGATCAGATTTGTGTGACCAGGACCTTCTGTCTGAACGCCTCTGCAACCACCTACTTTGCATGGCCCATCTCAGCTGCTGCATGGATGGGTAGCTGCCAGTTATCACTGTTGCAGTAGAGGTTTGGGTCTGCCCCTGCAGCCAGCAGCAGCTTCACACAGTCCAGGTGTCCCTCCTGGGCAGCAATCAGCAGGGGAGTGGCCCTGTCCTTGGCCTGGCAGTTGACGTCCGCACCTGACACGAGACAAAACCAAAGTCACCTCCATCAGTCATTATCCTTCACAGGGTGGCTTCCAATTCAGCAAGTTCTCCTCAGCAATAAGGAAATAAAACCTGTAGCATTTGAAATGATGATGTGCAGGAGCAGAGCTCCAGTTGCACTCAGTGGGAGTTGCTGGGAGCGTGGCCGGGGAGATGGAGGATGTGGTTACCGTGGGACAGCAGCAGGCGCAGACTCTCCAGCTGGCCATACTGAGCAGCCACAAACAGAGGGGTGATTCCAAAGTCATCACGACAGTCCGTGCTGGCCCCTTTCTCCAGGAGCATTTCCATTATCTCAGTGGAACCCTGGAATCAAGGTTTTTGTTCTCAACCAGCAGGAAAACGAGGAAATCACACTACCCGTTTTTCCCCACATGCTCCAGATAGAAATAATAAAACCCGCAATATATTCAATATCCTAAAGATACACTTAAAAATTAATGGTAAAAGAAATTAGGCAAGTTCAAATTGATCACTTTTGCTCATTTACATGATAAAGTAATTTGTATGTGTTAGAACTATTAAGCCAACATATTTTTAAGTACAAGCTTATAAGTGCTAGGGTAGGATAGGAAAAATTACCTGACAAAAATCCAATAATTATTAAATAAGTATTTATCCCCCAGAACATACCAGTTACACCAAAATTACATGATGTGCTCACAGGTTACCTGAAAGGAAGCTTGGTGCAAAGAATTCCATCCAGACCAAGAATGAGACCCTTCAATATTTGCTCCGTGTTGGAGTAGGAACTTGACAACCTCTGTATGTTTATTTTCAACAGCTTCCATAGAACAGTAATAAAAAGAAAAAATCTTATTGAAAAATTTGAAAAAGAAATAATTTAATTATTTGTGTTTAAAAGCTCAAAAGCTCTCACTGCCAACTTGCTGAAACAACAATCATAATTCCTTTAAACTTGCCCATTATATACTGGCTTGCCTTTTATATTTAGATCCCCAAAACAGTGTTGGGGAATGGAAGTTATGCCAAAATTCCGCCAAACTTGGAAAAGACTTGGAATCAAAGGTAACATGGCATACATGATGTCTGGGCAGAGAGGCAAGTAAACCAATAAATGTATTTAATCAGATGATTTAGAAGCATTCAATTAAGTCAAACATAAGTCATAGAAAAAAAAATGCTCAAATAATGGACCTTAATTGCCAAATTAGGAATGTCAATAATAATAATAAAATAATAATTCTTATTTTATACATCAGAATTAGGAAGGAATTATAAAAATCAAAAAGGCTTTGAAACAGCCTCATACAGATGTAATCCTGAACCTCCTAAAGTTTTTCTGCGCTTGATGCAGAAAATATATTTGCTTTTATAATTTATAATTTGCTTTTATAATTTGTTTTAAAACACTGGCTGAAGCAGATTTACCCATAAACAAAAGGTTATTTCCACACCTCTGAGTCTAAAGCCTGGTTATTTAGGGCTACAAAAAGACACAACATGGCAGGCAAGTAAGAAACTCCGGTGAGTTTAAACTCAGAAAAACTTGAGTTTTAACTGGTGAGTTCAAGCTCTGGGGCTTGAGGAAAGCTTGTGTCACCTAGGAAGAGTGGGGTGGTGGCAGATTCGGTGGTGACATTGTCCAGGTCAGCCCCAGCTTCCAGGAGAATCCGGAGACACTCCACAGAGCCATGACGGGCCGAGAGGTGCAGAGCACACATCCCTTCAAACGTCCTCGAGTGGATATAGTCATCAGCTGGAGCTGCAGAGGAGTATAATGACAGGACAAAGGGGATATTTGGCAGTGAATTACAAAATACAATCATTTTAAGAAAATAACAGAGTTATTTGAGATATGTGGCCTATGGAACGTCCATGAATATGCTGTTATCACCTCAAGTATCACCCATGAACTGCAATATGTCAATTTCTACTTAGCGCAGTTGGGAAACTACACCGAAAATCCTCAAACAAAAATAGGATAAATCTATGGAACTTGTATTTTCTGTGACAGGATAATTTAGCACAAAACCACAGCATTTCCTATTAGGTTTTCCTTACCTCTGTCAATGAGGAGCTTCAGGCACTCACTGGAATTGTGCGCTGCCGCTTCATGGATGGGCAGCCACCTCCTGTTATCCGGGACGTCGACGCTGTATCCCCGATTTATCAATTCCCTCAGAATCTCAACGTTTCCTTCTCTGGCTGCAAGGCCCACAGCCGAGCACCTGTCTGAATAGGCTTCTGTGAAATCCATCCCTGGCATGGAACTCTGCAGCAGGAGGAAAAGAGGGGAAAAAAAAAAAAAAAGAGAGATGTGTGTTGGTAAAATATAGATCTGAGGGGTTTTTTTGTTTGTTAGTTTTACAGAGGACTTGGTTTGGTTTGTAGGGAGATGGTGGTTTGGGGAGCTTAGGGACAGGTAATTGCCTGGTGTGAAAAATGCCAATCACTTGTTTTTAATTTTTTTAATAAGTTTAATAGTAATAAAATGGTTATAAAAATAGTAATACAATTAGAGTAATAATAATTTGGACAATTTGGATTAGGACAATATGAGACAATAAAAACAAAGTGTTACGGACATCCGGGTACCTTTTTCTGGGCAAAATAAGCTGGAAAAAGGACTCACATTGACAGAGGATTAACCCTTAAAAACAATAACCTGTTATATATTCATACATCTCCTATATGATGCATAAATTCCATTCAAACACAGGATTCTGTCTGGTCATTGTCAACTTCTTCCTCTGAACCCTAAACGGCGCCTTCAAGCCTGAGCGAGGCAGGAGGAAGTTCGTTTCTTTTGATAATGGAGCAATAAATTCTCTTTCTCTGAAAGATTTAGGTGTCCTGTGGCTGCTATCTCAGGGCGAGTCCTTTCTTTAAGAAAAAAAGTATCCTACATAGCATAGCTTCTATTTTAATATTTTGTTATAACCTAAAACTATATTTAACACATTACTTAAAAGAATTAATACAGCATTACTTTCTAACACAATATATATAATATTAATATTTGCGAAAAGCCAATCATAAAATACGCACTTTTCACACCAGGGGTTGTGAGAAATGAAACCAAATTTATCACAGGGTGGGTTGGGGAAGGTCGTTCGTGGGTTTTGAGAGGAGATGGTTGAGGTTTGAGGGGAGGCGGTTGTTTGGAAGGTGTTTGGGGATTTAAGGGGAGGCTGAGTTGGAGGAGAGATGGTTTTTTGTGGGGTTAAGGAGTGGTTCTTTGTGGGGTTTGAAGGCAGAGGTGGTTGGGGTCTTTGGGGCGAGGTGATTGTTTGGGGGGATGCGCTTGTTGGCAGGACTGGGGGGCGAGGCAGGTGCTTGGGGGAGGTCGTTTGTGGGTTTGGGACGTGGTCGCTGGGTGGTTTAGGGGGACACGATCGTTCTGTGGCCTTGGGGGAGGCTGTCCAGGCCCAGGACCGGCTCCCTCAGAGCCGCCACAGCGCCGGCCCCGCCAGGCTCCGCCGCCGCACCGGGGCCGCCCCGCCGGCGCTCGGGGCCGCCGCCTCCGGCCGGGGCCGCCCCGCGGCTCTGCGCAGGCCCCGCCGGGCCGGGCCGCCATGTGGGTGTTCGGCTACGGCTCCCTCATCTGGAAGGTGGATTTCCCCTACCAGGAGAAGCTGGTGGGGCGCATCCGCGGCTACAGCCGGCGCTTCTGGCAGGGCAGCACCGACCACCGCGGGGTGCCGGGCAAGGTGAGCCGGGGCCGGGGGGAGCGCGTCGGGCCCGGCTTCGGGCCCTGCCCCGCGGCCGGAGCCGCCCGCAAGGGCTGCACTGAAACACTCGGACAGCAAACACGCCGACAACAAACACACCAACAACAAACACAACCCGCTTTAAACAGGGCTCCGAAATGCCGCATTTGTCATTCAGGGCGTTAAATACCCTCGGTGAGGGGCGGGTGTCAGGCTGTGCACAGGGAATAGGACAAGCCAGAATTATTGATCCAAGTAACCCCCGGCTGTGTTTTGACTTATTTTACTCTCATGGATTAGGAAATATTTGGAGTTCTAAAATTCTTCACTGTTTGGAAAAGGAAAAAAAAAAAAAACAGCGAGAAAAAGAAACTAAAATTCCCAATGTCATGTTTTTTTAAGCCACGGGGATAAGGTATAACCTTGCACCCAGGTAACTCCAGTGTAAAACCTGAGGCGGCTCTAAGAGAGAAAAAGCATCAGGATTATTTTATTTAAAGAACACGTCTTGCTTCGTGAAAGGTTCCAGATGAAACAACACTCATTAGAATATCAAACACCATAAAATAACTTGCACAGAGCTCAAAGAACACGGCTTGAGCCACCACTGACACACAGTAAAGAACAGCAACAAGGAAAAAACAGTTCTTACAAATATACGGCAAATTTCTTGTCAGCTGTGTTTTAAAAATATTTTCAGAGGATTATTTGCAGTAGTACAAACAGTACTTAATTCTTCTGATCAATAAGTGTTTAGTAATTTGTTTCTTTATGTTTGTTTTGGGTAGTTCCAGGCAAGACAAGGACTCTGCAAGCAATTAAGTAAATATTCTGCCCTTCCTTAGGCAAACAGATCCTTCTTCCTTCACACAGCCCACCTGAACATGAAGTTCTCCTCAGTACTGGCCTTCATATTAAATCAAATCAGATTTAAATGAAATTTAATTAATTTAGGCTACAGTTACAGACATTCCTAGCAAGGACAAGAAAGTTGATTTCCATCCACCATGGAATGTCTCTTTAATCCATAATTCACAAAAATCTTAGTGACCTATTGCAAGTGCACAAGTCAGAGAACTATCAAAGACTATGGAAAAAATATTCCAAAAGGAACACTGAAGTTATCTTTGGTGTTTCATGGGAACAGACTCATTTCTGCTCAGGAAATAGGAGTCATTTAGTGTTCATGTAGCTTTATTGCCTTATTTTATCAGTCAGGTCAGGAATAAATTGCTCACGCTGGGAGAGAACTAATTTGATGCCAAAAGCAGCAATTTTAAACTGCAGATGTAGTTCAACATAGAGTTTTATGTTTTAAAGTTTTATACAACAAACTTCAACTATTTTATTTCCAGTGTTTACAAACTGGATTCTTACTTTTTCCTACAAGAATTGACTTCCTGGGGAAAACAAGCCATTTGGAAGGTATCCTCCCTCCATCCAGTGAGGCTCCAAGGGCTCCTTGAGGATAGTTTTACATTAATGAAACTCCTAATTAGCACTGTTATTGTATTGTTAATTAATTGTCACTTTTAAGTTGCAGTGGAATTGAGTCTGGACAGCACATGTAAAGCAAGGACATTCAAACCCTCCCAATTTCTGACTGCCTTTAATTTTTGTGTCACAGGCACTGTCCAACCCAGAATTTAACATGTTGTTTATTTTATTTAATACACATCCAAAGATACTCTCCAAAAATACTTACACTGGATCTGGACCTTACTGGAATTGTGCTGGATTAATTCTCTGAGCATTTCATTCCTGTTCCTTGTTATTTTATCATTTTGGTTTGGTTTTGCTCATGATTTAGGGCAAAAGCCTCTGAATGAATGATGATTTCGTCTTTTAAATTTTAGCCTGGAAGAGTTGTGACCCTGGTTGAAGATGCTGAGGTACAGTACTGTTGTACAGAATGTCCTGTTGCATTTCCACTTGTTAATTTTTGCTTTTCTACGAGCAAATAACTGTCTTATCTTCAGGGAAAAGTTCTCTCAGTGTTTCCCAGAGTTACACCAATGATTGTTTCAAATAATCAATATAAACTGGAAGTAGTTTGGGTCTGTTATTACCACAGGGATATTTTAAAGTATATTCTGGAATAGTCACTTTGGCTATCCAGTTGTGAGATGTAGAATTTGATAGAAAGATATATCAAACATACATTATTTGATATCAACATTGAATGATAAATATAATTGCTTTAATTTCAGTTTCACAAGGTTTGACCAGATTCTGAAGGTATCTCAGCACACCACACCAGTTCAGGTGTGTAACAGGTGCAGGTGACCCTCAGGTCCTTGCCAAAGTGTCACTAAACACAAGGAACCTGATCAAAATTCCTTCAAATTCAGTATTATTTAAATTTGTCATTTTCAGACATAAATCTTATGAGGTCAGGGAGAAACTCTGTGTCCTTTTTGCCAGTTCCTTAGTGGCCTGTACCAAGCCTATTTACTACTCCAAATATGAACAAAACAAGGAATTGCTCTGTTAGGAAAACCTCAGCCTTAGCAGACAGAGGATGATCAGTGTTTTCACTGATAATTGCCTGAATAAAGCAAATTCAGCATTATTTAAATTTGTCCTTTTCAGACATAATTTGTATGGTCAGGGAGGTCAGGGAGAAACTCCAAGTCCTTTTTGCCAGCTCCTTAGTGGCCTGTACCGAGGCTAATCACTACTCCAGATACTAATAAAACAAGAAGTTGCTCTGTTAGGAAAACCTTAAATGCAGAGGATAAACCATTTTATTGTAAAGGAAATCATTCCTTCCCTTGGCTGCTGATGTCAAGCCCTGAAAACCAAAGCTCTGGGCGCTCTGACTCGAACAAGCCATAACCTGTCAGTGCCTCATTTTAATTTTTAATCCTAATATAAAGAATAACCCCAAAATAGCAGAAAGAGGATGATCACTGATAATTGCCTAAATAAAGCAGGGACTCTTTGGGATACTTTGAATACTTTGGGACTCTTACAAACAGTGCAAAAAGCAGCAGAAGGGCAGGTGTGACTGTGTTTACAGGGGTGTCAGGTTGAGGGAAGAGATGAGGATGTGATTCTATGTTTCAGAAGGCTGATTTATTATTTTATTATATATATTACATTAAAACTATACTAAAGGAATAGAAGAAAAGATTTCTTCAGAAAGCTAGCTAAGAATATAATAAAAAAGAATGATAAAAGTTTGTGGCTGGGACTCTCTGTCTGAGCTAGCTAAGCTGTGATTGGCTGTTAATTAAAAACAACTAACATAGGCCGATCAAAAATCTACCTGTTGCATTCCACAGCAGCAGATAATCAATGCTTACATTTTGTTCCTGAAGCCTCTCAGCTTCTCAAGAGGAAAAATCCTAAAGAAAGGATGTGTCCTTTTTGCCAGCTGTGTCCTTTTTGCCAGCTCCTTAGTGGCCTCTACCGAAGCTATCTACTACTCCAGATACTAACAAAACAAGAAATTGCTCTGTTAGGAAAACCTTAAATGCAGAGGATAAACCATTGCAGAGGATAAACCTAGAGAAAGGTGTCGCAGACATTTTTTCACAGAAATCCTTTCTTTGGGGTTGTGTATCTTCTGGGAAGCAAAGGGGCCCCAGAAGAAGAATGTAAACAATTATTATCAGCTGCTGTGGCATGCAATAGGATGCACCTGTGATTGGTTCATGTTCCCATGTTTATAATTAAGAGCCAATCACAGGAGCAAGCTGGGGACAGAGTCCCTGGACACAACTTTGTTATAGATTCTTTTCTCTCTATTCTTAGCTTAGCAAGGCATCTGCAACTTCTCTCTTTATTCCTATTAGTATAGTAAGAATGTATTATATAGCATATATCAATAAATCCAGCCTTCCGATCAAGAAACAAGATTCTCGTCTTTCTCTCACCACCCAGCGACCCACTCAGGTTGCTGTAATAGAAAGGATTTTTCATAGAAGATGTCTGCGACAGGCAGGAAATGGGTTTCCTGAAAGCTTTGCCTAAACGCGGCGATTCCCGAGCACCCCTCTGACCGCGTTTCCTCGGGCAGGGCTGCGTGTGGGGCGTCGCCTACCGGCTGCCAGCCGGCAAGGAAGGAGAGGTGAAGGCCTACCTGGATTTCCGGGAGAAGGGCGGCTACAGGACCACCACGGTGATCTTCTACCCCAAGGACGCGTCGGTGCAGCCCTTCGACGTGCTGCTCTACATCGGCACCCGCGACAACCCCAACTACCTGGGCCCCGCGCCGCTCGAGGACATCGCGCGCCAGATCCTCGGCGCCGCCGGGCCCAGCGGCCGCAACACCGAGTACCTGTTCGAGCTGGCCAACTCCATCAGGAACCTCGTGCCCGAGGACGTGGACGAGCACCTCTTCTCCTTAGAGACACTGGTCAAGGAGCTCTTGAGCAAGCACCAAAATCTCAACTGTCTGTGAAGGGACCTCGGAACAGGCCTGGTTCTGACCCCTGGGAGGGATGCTCCTCTGCATTGTGCTGGCCTAATTAGTGCTGCATATCTTAATTAATGCTGCGTTCAGAGTAGGAGTTGGTTACTTAAAACTGCCAAAATCATTCTCCCATTCTTTCTCAAGAAAGGAGAGCAAAAAAAGTCTTCTAATTTCAAATTGGTATCTCAGCTTTTCATTCGAAACTACACCTCAAGACAACCACCCAAACTTCTCTTTATGTTTCATTATTATTTCAAGTTTAATATAAATCTTTTGAGGTCAAAATCGGCATGCAGAGACAAATTCCTTAGATTTAAGTGATGGTTTGTTCTGATCCCAGACCACAGTGCAGGAATTTTAAGTGGTTGGCCTAAATTGTGTAGTAGAACATTTATATCAACATTCAGCTCCTCTGAAATAAAGTTAAGCTACTGAATTAGTCATCTCACCCTTTATATGTTAATTTATCCTTAAATGCAGAGGATAAACCATTTTATTGTAACGGAGATCATTCCTTCCCTTGGCTGGTGATGTCAAGCCCTGAAAACCAAAGCTCTGGGCGCTCTGACTCAAACAAGCCATAACCTGTCAGTGCCTCGTTTTAATTTTTAATCCTAATATAAATAACCTCAAAACATTAAAATTAACTAAGAGCATGACTTGAAGTCACAACACAGCAAGAAGAGAAACTTTCATCTCTGTTACTTCAGGTGTGCTGTTGTAGCCCCCATCTCTTCAAAGATCCCAGCTGCAAGGACAGGTTTTAGTTTCAAGGATTCACTAACAGAAGGAACGCTCTGGGAGGTTCCCAGAGACAAAATTAAGGAAGGAACCCTCTCTCCAGCAACCTTAGGGATGTGTTTGGACATCCCAAGAGGGTTGGGAAGCCCCCAGTTTAGGCTGGTAGGCTTCCTGATGCAATCCGTCCCAACATGGACTTGTCTTGCTCCTCAAAACTTTATTTTTATTAACTTTTAACCGAGTATATTTTTATATATTAATATTAAAGGTCCTGTTTCAAACACCACGTAACATCCTGTTTTCCCGTCCAGGGAATGTGTAAGTGTTTAGTAGCAGCCTGGAAGCCTGGATTCTGCATCAGTAATTGCAAAAAAAGTGTGGTTTTCCCCTAAAAAGTTTGACCCTTTCTGTCCTTTACATCTTCCTGGTTTATATTTGTGAAGGTAAAAGTGTGCAATGGCATTCTCTGCTTTCTTGAAAATTCTTTTTAGATTTAAAAATTCTTTCCTCCAAGATTTATCCTTGTTCCTTAAAAGAGGGCACGGGATCCAGAACCATCAGGGCTGATCCTCCCTTTAAAATGCTAATTATTTAAGTACTGTGATTCTGTGTAGCTCCACATTCTCTGTCTTTGCCTCCAAGATTTTGTTGGTTCTTTGCTTCTTAAATGCATAAACCATTGCAATAATACACGTTCCTGTGTACGACTTCAGTGCAATAAAAAAGCATTACAATGACCAACGAGGTTGGAAATTTCCAGAAATGTTATGTCTAAAGTGTGTGTGTGTGAGGGGGGACATCAAGGTGTGTGTGTTCATTGTGCCTTGCTATAAAATTGCTGTTGAGACTGAGAGTGACAACACACATACAAACTGTGGCACATTAGGAATTAATTGAAGCATGGGAAATACAAATAGATACATTTGTCCTTGCTGTGTGGGATTGAAGCCACTGTTCTGCCCCCAGCTTTGGTCCCTACCAAAAGCCTCCCAGATCTGCTACCTTAAAAATTTTAGGCCGTTTAGGCTTCATTTTTTTCCTGACTGGTTAAACTCAGTCTCTATTTATGCAAATGCAGATTTATATCTGTAGGCTTCACTACACAACCACGCACACAAAGCCACTACTAAACATGTTCCCAAACAGTGTCTGGGGAAACAACAGGCACATCCATGGCTATTTACAGGAGATAATGCAGAGAGGAGGGAGGGGGAGATCCAGACTCCATCATCTCCAAGGTATTTTCCAACCAGAATAACTCCAAGGCTCTGTAATAAGGTCATTCTCTGTAGCATGGCCTATTAATTTCTCACTCTCACATCCTTCAATTATTTATCTGCTCCATGTTTCCCATGGGTCAGATGGGACTTGTCTAACCTGCTCTGATGTGAGGACTGTTTGGGTTCTCAGGTGTATAGATACCCACGCACATATATATATACACACACGGGTGTATAGAGAAACACACAGAGGGGCCCTTGAAGTGCTCTTTTACACTCATAACCTCGTACCTCTTGGTTATGTTTAACCCTTAGCGCTGCCACTGATGACCAAAGTTAATTACATGCCATTCCCCCCTTACTGTCTACTCTTACTCGCTCCCATTTTACCCCTCGCTCGCTCATTCCCTCATTCACACTCCTGCCTCCCTCACACTCCTCCCTCACACTCATTCCCTCACTTACACTCCTCATTTAAATTCCTCACTCCCTCACACTTCTACTCACTGCCATCACTCACTCACTCACTCACTCACTTACTTCCATCACTCACTTCCATCACTCCCCCACCCCTCACCCCGGTCCTCGGCTCGCTCCGTGCCCGCCCGGCCCCTCACCTGCGGCGGCGAGCGCTGCCCCGGATGCCGCTGCTGGCGCCGGGCGCTGCCCCGGTTGTTGATCGCGGCTGCCGGAAGCCGACGTGGCGGCGGCGCGGCGCGGCCTCGGCGGAGCCGCCGGCCGGCATGAGGGGCTGCGGGCTGCGGCCGCCGAGCCCGGCCCCGGCCCCGCGGAGGGGCTGCGAGCTGCGGCCGCCCTGCCCGGCCCCGGCGCTGCTCTGCGGGCTCCTGGCGGCCGTGGCCGCGGTGGCCGAGGGCGGCCGGGCGCTGCCGCAGCTCAGCGACGACATCCCGTTCAGGGTGAACTGGCCCGGCACCGAGCTCAGCCTGGTGAGCTCCCCCCTCACCGCAGAGGGGCTCGGAGTCGCCTCGGCGCTCAGGGGGGCTCGGGTGGGGCTGGCCCGCCGCCGGAGGGAGCCTGGCAGCTGGGAGAGAGAGAATCCCGGGGGATTCTGTGCCAACAGCGGCGGGGGGAGAGCTGGGGGTGAAGGGGGGATGGCTGGGGCTGGGGGCTGTAATGAAGGTCTGAAATTGGAGAGCAGGAGTGAGGGGGCATGGAGGGATTTAGGGATCTGGAGGGGATCGGACATCTGGAAGGGGTTTGGGATCTGGATGGGATCGGAGGTCTGGAAGGAATCGGGCATCTGGAGGTGATCGGGGATCTGGAGGTGATCGGGGATCTGGAGGGGATCGGGGATCTGGAATCTGGAGGGGATCAGGAAATAGGTAGAAGTAGAAGGTCCAAAGCGAAGGCAGCAGCAAGCAGCTCCCAGCCAGCTGAACCACCAAACTCGAGTCTTGTGGTGTAATTAAATCCCAGGAAATACTCTGAAGCACCGCTCAGGAATTCAGGGGTGTTTCTAGTGAGTAGCATTAAAAAGCCCCTGCCTGGCTGATCCGTGGGTTGGTTGTTTTCTCAGCCGACCACCGGTGTCTTGTACAAGGAGGACAATTATATCATCATGACCACTGTGGATAAAGAGAAGTACAAGTGTCTCCTGCCATTGATAGCCAGTGGCAACGAGGTGAGTTCAGACGAGTTATTCTGTAAATATAAACTGTAGCTGAGTCTTTACACTGTCAGTTTCAATATCATGAGATATCCTTTTGTTGCAGGAAGAAGAAAAGGACTATAAAGGTCCTACTCCAGGGGAACTGCTGGAGCCTCTCTTTAAGCAAAGCAGCTGTTCCTATAGAGTATGTTACTTTTGTCCTGTTCATTAAATGCCAATTAAAAGGTTACAGGCCAGTGCATGTCAAGGTTTTAGGGTAGTAAATGAGATACTAATACAGTCTGAAACAAGGTCTTTACAACTTTATGCCTTAATAATGCTGACAAAATTCTGTGTGATTGAAGATGTCAGAATTCAGATAAATGGGTTCCTATGGTAGCAGTTAAAAATATGGATTTTTTTTAATTTAATTTTTTTCCTTTGTTTTATTTGTGTGAAAGTCAAGGAAGTCTTCTCTGTTGTGTTTGTTTGGGCAACACTGAGACCACTCACTGTACTCTTGTTTCTGAGGTTGCTCCAGCATTTTGCAGCAAAAGCCAACATTTGGGTGGTTTTGTGGTGCGTAAATACATCTAAAGATAATTTTTAAAATGTATTTTATTTCTCAGATTGAATCCTACTGGACTTACGAGGTGTGCCATGGGAAGCACATCCGTCAGTACCACGAGGAGAAGGAAACGGGGCAGGTAGGTTACTCACAACCCCCTTCCCACTGGCATGGTCCTGCTGAACTCCTCCAGCAGACTTGAATTGTTGTAATAATTTAGCCATGATTCCATTTTCCTCATGCAGAAAAACTGCATTTTTACTGTACAGGACGTATTTTTATAGGATTATCAGAAGGCACTGTGTCAGATCTTACTGGTTCGCAGTACACAGTTCATTGCTCAGTACATGGTATTTTGCATGTCTATTAAACTTCTGTGTTTTTAGTTAGTTTACATACTTTTTTACTGATTCTTATGAGACAGATCTCTCGTTATTACAGATGCCATTTGTTCTTCATCCTAGAAGTAGATTGCTGTGTTAATGAACTCTCATTCCCAAAATTATTTTGTATGAGAACTTGCAGGCTGTCTGCACTTAGAAGTGACAGACTAGCTTTGGCACTTTAGCAGAGCAAGGCCTGATTTCGTAAAACCTTTCTTTTATAACTTCTTTTATCTGTTTGCAACGTTGAATTCCCTGAAAAAGCTTGGAAAGTGGTAACTGATGTTTGTTTTGATTGTAGAAAATAAACATCCAAGAGTACTACCTGGGGAATATGATAATGAAGAACCCGTTGGCAGAACCAGGTGTGTTTTAGATTATTTCATTCTGCTGATAATGATAATTTTTGGGTTTTAATTATTCCTGTCTGACCAGTTTGAGAGCCTTTTTTTAGGGAACCTGAAATCCTCAGAAATATTCAAGTGCCT